AAGAACATTTACTTTGCTTCCAGATCACGTTCGGTAATGGAGGACTATTTGTCAAAATATTCTTGTTGCTTCGGCATACTGGCTGAACCATTACATGTTTCTTACCACCGAACTGTTTGCAATAATTGCCTTCATATATAGACGTGTTATTCTTAAGGGGAATACACCAGCAGCGTATTTCGGAAGACGCTTTTGACAACCGGAATGCGAAACAAACAAAATTTGTGCTTGCATAAACCTCCCAAACGTTTGTCAAGTCGACCATTTGACAGCTTTTTGCCATATTCGTGTCACGTTTTCCTCCTTGCAATCCTTGCACGTTTTCAAGCAACAGCCTGAGAATTCTGAATAGAAATGCCAGGCGTACTTTTGCTAATCCGCAAACTTAAGGTTGGGCACAGAACATTCTTCACGGGGAAATAACTTTTTCAAATGTTGGTGCATATTTTTTTCTCAATCATAACAAAGTGATTTCGAAGGTTCACAGGTCCCGCCGTATAGCAGCTTACGGAGGACATTTACGCCCGAGTCTACAAGATGAAAACATCGCCGGATAAAAACTAAATCTGACAGGCGAAGGGATAGGTACAAAGCCCAAACAACTGGCACAAAACCCGATTCAGCGAGAGTGAGTGTGACAATGCCACCCAGCCGCCATTCTACGGTTTCTGTCCTCCCTGGGGAACAACCGAAATCTGGCCACTTAACAAAGTCCACTTCGTTTATCCCTCACCGGGGAACTTTAATGGCAACTAAAACAACCCTCGGGAAAGCCGAAAGAAAAACTTTTTTTCCTGAAGAAAAACTTCTGGAGCGGACGGCTTTTAGCTCTCTGGGACTGTACGCGATCGGGTTTAAAAACACTGCGCCCTGCCGACTCAGGGGACCGGGAGCGATTTATGACTGGATTGGATTTTTTTACCAGACGTACACCTTTTCAAGTCTTTGCGAGTTCCGCTGGTAGATTATTGTGAGACCGGGCAGGTGGTTGACAGGGTGCCTGTTGTTCTGGTCCCGCTCAGCCAGTAGAGGAAAACCTTTGTAGGAGTTCTGCTCCATTGGCCAAGAGAAGCTGGCTTTTTAGCAGGACACCCCGCTTGCTGGTCACGCGAAATAATGGTGTTTGGGTAGCTAAACAGATGAAAGACAGGGATTACGGACCGGCAAAAATTCAAGCTCTTTTTGAAGGATCGTTGGGGGTAAAGATGGAGCACACGGTATACACCAAGTACTGGAAGACGAATGAAAGCGCTCGTTCAAGATTGTGCCCTTCTTCTATTTGAAAATTAGCATTAACATCACCGTTGATATGATGTTAAAGGGTAGCTGCAATCAATTTGTTTTAGTACAGACCTTTGTGTCTCAGTTTATCTTATTTTCAACGTTTCTTTCAATATTTCATAGGGTAACTCACCGCCTTTTAGGTTTTTACGCTAATGATACTTCCATATTTATGAGCAAAACTGTGATGTTGTCCTAGGAAGAAAAGCCTGAAGGCGGAAGTTGGTGTTTCATTGGTTTGTGCGCATTTTTGTAGATTTTGCTGGACTAAATTTTCTCTTCTTTGCTGACTCCTTGCTGTTTATGTGCATAGCAATAAGCAGGTATCAGTCTCTTTCCCAGAATCATTTACAGTAAGTAAAGTCTTGGTTCACAACTTTTACAGAAATACCTATGAGCAACAGTTGTCCAGGAAAGCAGTGATAGTTTTAGTGTTCACAAATTGTACTTTTAAATTAAATGCATTTGAATGCATTTAATAACCAAATAGGAGTGCCACAGAGTTTTCACATACTGAAGAATCGTACAGGGTGGTAGAAAAAATTTTATCTAAGAAAAACTTATTGCAGCTACACTTTCAACCGGAAACGTTCTTCAGTTTTAAGTGGCCGAAGATGCATAAAAATACACTCCCCATGTAAAACGCCCAAGGGCAAATCCCGACCGTGTGCCCCTTGCAAATCGAAAGTCGACCGAATTCTTCTTGTTAGGACATCTTGTCTACCTTGTTCTGTCTCATTATGACTACAGAGCTCACAAGAGGTACATCTTCGAGGAAACATTTAGGCTGTCCTGCGTCCTTTGGCCGGCTCGATTTGCCCCGAACAAAAGCGACAGGGGCTCAGTGATTTTCAATGAAGCCAGTACCCTCAGTCGACTCCCCGCAGTACAAACGGGAGAATGTTACTATGTTATCCGTAACACGCACGACAAAATAGGTGGCCTTATAGTATGCCGAACATTCGCTCAATGAAAAGAAATGGCAATGACAAGTTAACATTAAGAATCAGTGTAGAATAGTCTTCTCTACAGCACAGATTGGATGCATGGTTAGTGAAAAAAGAACCATAATATGCAAGTATCGATACCAATGATCTTGCCGATATCCAACTCGACTCTGATCAAGGTATGACTTGGAACAGACATCTTGCAACAGAGGTTCTCTGTCTTGGGCCACGTGCAGATTTCAAACTTCAAAGAGAATGCTGACAAACTTAATTATCATGCTGTGACTTCAATCAGTTTTCTCAATTTTTAAAATGGTCGCTAAGTCGGGGTACACCCAAAATAGTTACATAAATATCTTGATGTTCCATAAAGCAAGTTTTGGAATGATCCCAGCGCCCGCTTTTCATTATTTTTCCCGGCCGAATATCGTCCAGGTAAATAATTACGGATATTGGGTTTGCCATCATTTATCTGGTTCAAGTTCAACACGTCCTGAGCTTAAAGTTAAGGGCCATGTCCGCAGACGTTACACCCCAGAAAAAAACACAATAGGTGTACCCCTCCTTACCTTCATCTGTTTCTTGTGTGATCTCCTGCGCAGAACTATTGCTCATGCTCAGTGCAAATAATAAAGAATATCTGTGATCCTGAAAACAATTATGTCTTCAGAGAGCGTAGCAAAGAAATATAGGGTTGCCGAAGAGGTTATTCACAACGATTCGAAAAAATCCTAATGACGTCTGACTGCGACACTGACAACAGAAAAGCAAGTGGGTGGTTTTGTTAGGGCAACATTACTAGTTCTTACCCACTATCCAAAATGTTAGATTTTTCTCTGCAAATACATATTTAACATTATTCTGCGCAATAGAAAAAGGTTGTTATGTTTAGGGGGTTCCCAACGTCACAGTGAACCCGAGTTAGGACTTGCAATTTTTTGAGCAAAACATTAAGCCCAAACTTTTCACAGTTCAAACTCAAAAGAGCTCACTGCTTGGGACATTTTGGAGATGTTCAACGGCGGTCAAACTCACTATTCTCTCTGTTCTAGATGCAACGATATCGTGGTGGCTTTTACTCCCGGGTAATGCTGCAGGCCTATACGGCACTGGTCAAACAATTTGCAAGGCTGGGAATTTTTAAATTATGTGCCTTGTTAAAAGATGGCAACTTAAAAAAAACCTAGGTTATGAATAGAACAGTTTAGGCCACCCCTTTCCATTTGTTCCTCATTATATGTATTTACAAAACCTGCATAAAAGGAAAGTACATGCCAATAGTACAAAATTCGTAAAAGTCTAAACGACTCACAAATAATCTGATTACAGCAAAATACTCATATTATGATATGCGTAGCTTTGCGATTTAAGACTTTCGATTTTCGACAAAAAAGCTCACAGGAGACACAGAACCACCCCACTGATCCACTGAACACTACGACTGAAGTTCTTTCAAGCGATAGGAATAAGTAACCTGTTCCTATTCCTGTCAGTAAACAAGGGGACGCGGGATACTGACTGACAAAGAGTTCAGCCGGCTATATCGTGATTTTGGCCGATTTCTTCCCCTTCAAGGAACTCGGCACGCACAGTGAGGCAGACATCACGGACTATTGGTTAATCTAAAGTCATCCACCCCAACCTCTTCGGGTCTTCTTCCCTGTTTTTTCCAAGCCAAACTCGTTTCTCCTCCAAAATGGGATTAAAGGGAGACAAAAGCTCCAGCAGATTGGTCGATGAATGGGAAATGTATGGACGTAAGTCAATAACCGCAAGGGACGGTGTACGTGCCACTGTAATTAGCGTTGGGGGTACATGTACACGGGGCAATAAACACCCATGGAAACTGCCAGGGCGAGGTTAAATACGGGCTTTTCACTATGGATGACCCATGGATGAACCAACCAGTAGATGTGTATAAATAAGTACATTTATCTCAAAACACGCATGGTGGGTTCGAACCGGGCACACTACCACAGTCTTAATCTTCCATATCTTGCACTTCAAACTACGATTTTGACAAAATCTCCTTGAACTCGGGTGTAAAAGGAACACCCCAGGTTTGCCACATGAAAGTACATGTATACTCATTTTGGGTGGGGGTGTTGCTTTATAAATCAAGACTGAATAACTCGACAGACTTTTGTGTGCAAATTGAAAGGATTGACAGACATGAGCCGTCTCAATCGCGAATGGGGTGGCAGGCTATTGACGTCATTACGTCACGCAAGGCTAATGTCCACGTTCAATGCAATGCTAGGGCCTCCACTGAAATTAATGAGGTCCGTGACACCATTCACGTGGCCTCCTTTAAATGTCGGGCAAGTACTGAAGGCTGTAAGATAGCGAGAGACTGGACCATCCTAGGAGCATTGCCTTATGAGACACAGAATAGCTCCTGCTTACAACATCACTTGTCAAAGATAAAGAGCTATCAAGTTGAGCTCCCACCAGAGAAAGTTGCTGCACTACACATTAATTATCTAGCAGTAACAGGGCCATAGTCTAGAGTGCTAGTGACCATTGGAGGCTAAGTTTCTTGGAGGGGCAAAATTAGTATTTGGTCATACTTGTAAGCAACACAAAGCTCCGCTTTTCTTTTCATCCAATTGACTACGCCACAGTGGACACGCTACCGGTACATTCTGCGCTATAGAGTCCAATAATGTCATTTTTCACCTCAAGGGGCTGCAAACGCTAGTAAGTAATGAGTAAAATGCGTTGAAATTATTTTTCCCCAGGGCCTTCGCTCTAATTAGTCTAAATTCCTACCTGTTTTCCCAACAGATGCCTGTCCTAGGACGATGACTTTAAAGGGTTTGGCTTGGCTCACTCCATTCCGCCGAACCGACGATCCCTTGCGCTTGAGCCCGCTCATGTAGGCGCTGCTATTGTTGTTAGGTGGCGAGTTGGATCTCGACATCTTGGTCGGCATGGCAACCGTCGGGCCAATGTTCTCAGGCAGCGGGTGCATGTGCAGGGATCGGGCCAGAGAGAAAGTCCCTGCTTCGGCCACCGACGGGAAGTAGGAGTTCAAGAACACGGGGCGCACTCACCCGGACTGGTAACTTTAAAAAGTCTGTCGCTTGCAGCGTTCAGCAGTAACACTGATACGTTTTGTTCATTCCACCAATGTCTTCTTGGCCCTAGGCCGACCTGAGCGTGAATGGTGCTCCCGCGGCCTTGTTGCGAGTGCATTCAGCGCCGTGTCGGTATGGTGCCCGTCTTCAACAGGACACAGAAGTCAGAGGGGTTAGAGTAGCTGGGTCAGACCCGATGCTATCGAGGGAACTGTTCCTTATCTGGTACGAACCTGCAGGGGAGAAATTCAAAAAAATAAGTCGTATATTTTACTCCAAAATAAAGTCAGAGCAGCGTCACAATGATCGAAGGTCGGCAATACGTCCAGCATGTTTCATAACTTCACCCCACTGTTTTGTGGTAGGAACTAAGATCTCCTCCGCTGCCTATCATTATTCGTATCGTATAGTGTCTGGGCCATTACTGTTCTGGGTTATTGTCACAGGTGACATTCAAACTTTGTGTGTCAACATGATAAAACTCTTTTATCAGCCAAACGGGTGTATTGCGTTTCTGACAAATAAATACCCTACACGTGTACATGGAGGTCTCGTTAAACTTTAAACTCCATATCACGCTTTCATAAGACAAAAAACAAAGAAAGAAAAACTGTGCCCAACAGGACTATGTGTATCGCGGGAAAGTGACTGGCAATAAGCCTCTTGCGAGTGACCTTGGAATAAAATCTGGTACTCTGAGTTCTTTAAATTCACGGGAACATAACAATTTATACATAAAATCATAAAAAACACTGTTGCTATACCTCGTGATTCGGGCCAAGCTTTTGCTTAGTTGCGTGAGAGACAACTTGCAACAATCCACTGTTCTCAATGGAAAAGAAGGGCACAAAAGGAACCAGCCATTCCAGAGATGGTTGTCGCTACGCAAAAACTTGCCCAGAATCACGAGGTACTGTATAGCAACAACGTCTTTAGTCTGGGGAATTAAAATTGTTAGTTTGTGTGCTATCAAATAACTCAGTGTACCAGATTTTATTCAAATTAAACTCGCAAATGGTTTGTTTTCGTCTGTTTACTCCAGGGAGGTGAGATTGATGCCCCCCAAGAGTTTTGGTCATGTAGTTTGCTCTTTTTTTTAGATCTAGAGATATGAGAAACTTGAGAGAGACGGTATGTTGATGCTAGCCTGATATTCCGTGCACAGTCACCTTAATGTTGGCTCAGAGAAGCACCGTTTCCGTGTCGGGGCCATCGGTGCCATTATTTGAGCTTTCAATGTCTCCCTCAACCCAACTGTTCCTTGCTTCCTGCTCCAACTTTCTCTCCTACCGGTGCGTGCAAATGCACATTTGGATTTCAAGTCCTGTTTTCGAGTAAATAAACTCTGGCTTGGTGTAATGGTGTCTCAAGTGGCTGTGTGTTTGTTGTAGCAAATGGGATTTACCGATGGAGTGAAACAAAGATGGCCCCGCCTTGTCATGGGCTGACGGCGAGGGTCAGATGCTGCGGAGCCGCGACATTCTGATCCAGTAGTCACGCGTGCACGGCACGTCATGAACAAGCGAGGGGTTTCAATGACGCGCGATATTTGGGCATCCCGCACTGTCAGTCTCAACTCCAACAAACAAAAGAATAAATATTTGAGGATTATGACCTGTTCCCGAAAAAACAGGGAAGAAAACTGTCCCCCATTCCATCACCTTGATAAATAAATCCCAATATGGACATAACGGTCCACCAGACCAAGACAATGCAAGCAAACACTGCAGGCCTTAATCCAAACAGTGCCGAGGGAGACAACTAGATCACGATTGTTTGCTGGCTCGTGGCCACCAAAACAGATCCATCGTGGGACAAACCACACATTTTTCCACAGGCTTTTTTCTTTTCTGATGTATTTTTGTTCCACGGCACATCAATTTGTTAAAAAGAGTTTATGTTTGATGCGGTGATAACCCTGCAGGCAATTTGCACATGATTTGCAAAATGGAAAAAAAAAACCGTGGCCGAAAGACACCACGAAAACAGATAATGAATCGACCTGGATTCAAGTTGCAAATACATGTGTACTTCATAGAAAGGGTTTTGCCCTCACGAAAACTGTGGCGACACAGGGGTAAGTTACCTAGTAAGAGCACATTCCCATATGCAACGGAACAACTTCCTCTGCAGAGAAGCGGACTTGGGTTGTCTAACACCACTTGCTATGAAGTACAGGTACATCACCCTAACAGTCCTCAGCCCTTCAACAGGTGAAGGATTGAGGATTGTTAGGGTTAAATTAATCACACATGTTAACAAGCTATATCTACCATTAATTTGGACGCTGGTCTGTCTCTTTTTCCTTTTTTTTTGGATCACATGAAACTGTCACGAATGAAGTGTAGAAGGATAATAAATGGAATCCAGTCATTCACGGGACCACTGACCGGGGAAATGTAAGCCGCCACGGTAAGAAACTCCGCACCGTTCCGCCTCTGTTTCCCAGCAGGACCCATAGCTAGCACCTGCACCAACACTGTCTGTGTATTTTATGTAATTACACCAGCTCTCTCTGCTTGTCAGGCAAGGTCGTACTGTGGGCAACTGGTAACCGCCAAAGAAAATAATGCCAGAAGATCCGATTTTTGACTGATTGTTTGTTGTGGGCTGTCAGACATAGCCTAGACGGCAGAGTGTGGTCCGAAGTAGAACAAGGTGGTGACAGGGTTTAGAATTGAGGGACCAAAGAGTGAATCGGAGGGCAAATTCCTAGCAAATTCACGTACAAAAACACCAACGCACAAAAATTGCTCCTTCCGTGACATGTTGACGAAGCAGTGCGGCTGGACAAACAGCTACAGAAAACCAAAGGATTTTAGTGTTCTGTCTTTTTTCGTTCTCCCTATAGATCCATCATATTTTTTGTAAACGCTACACCAACGATCAAACTCACAGAATCATAATGGTGCCAGTATGGAACCCTGTAGAAATACATGCAGTACGTTTCTGACTGCATGAACACCATGCGTCGGTCCCTCGAGTGTAAGGATCGGGGGATCGAAGCATCTCTCGCAATTTTTGGGTTCACACAAGAGCATTATTTTATCGTATGATGAATGGGTTTATTATCTAACACCAGCTTACGTGATTCTGAAATAAATTTACGAATGCTATATTAGAAATTCTTGAGGGGGGGTTGCAAAAGTCCCTCGGAAAAGCAGCTGCGTGTAGGTACAAGTGCGCATATTTCAAAATCAACCATTACTAATGCGCAACTGTTGTCCAAAGGCTGTGTATAAAAAACAAGAAGCACGGGATGTCCAAACGTCTTTTTTCATGCTCATGAATTTGAGGTACATGTAATAAAACCACAGAGGAAGACGGCACACGTCTTTAATTTATCCTTCTTGCTCATCAAAACGCCACGTATTTATACAGTTGGTTTGAAACCAAAGCAGTCATGGATCCATTTCGAAAACTCTCCCTGACAAGTTACATCAAGCAATATCAGAATGGCGATCCATTCTTCCGGTGGTCCAATTCATCAAATTGCGTGAAACTTACCCAGATCGTGAGACTGGAGAGAGAAAAATGCCTCTCAGCGTCCAGTCTCCAAATGTATGCATCAAACCTGCAAAACAGCGTAAACTGTCACCCTGTTAGTGGTTTGGGCGCTGGAAGGAGAGGACCCCTCCATCAGTTTCCCAAGAGCGCGTCGACTGCACTGCAGGCGACTCTTCGTCTTACGAAAGATGCATCCTGGGCCCTCTCGAGACACGTGACAAGGACTTTCTTTGGGAAAGGCATACTGATGGAGCAAGGCGATCGCCGGATTACAAACGCTGTAAAAACCAACTCCGTTCGACACTCAATCCTGGATTTAGACTTAATCCTGATAATCCCGTGTTACCAAACAACCTTTTGTTTCGTCGGTAATTGGACGCCAGAAATATGACAAAATAGGGACAATCAAGGGTTTAATCCGCATGGAACGTGCTAGCAAACACGTCACAGGGTTGTACTGAAAGTGGTGATTCACAGCTGCACAAAGACTGGGCGCAACACGAAGGTGTTTATTACACTCCTCACAACGGCATTCAGTGGGATTGTCGAGGCGTGCAAAAGGACGACTGAGCAGAACCAGTGCGAACAGTCAACCCATTGGTCGGCTTTGCTCCAGCAGTAACTAACCACTTCATTTTTCCGAGAGACGCATTCTAAGCGAGAATGTAGACAAGGAGCAGGGATGATGATGGTTTCGATGGGGGCACAATGGTAGGTCAACTCATTATAGTAGGGCCAATCAAGACAGGCCGAACAGATATCACCGGGGAGGACCAAATGTTCACCATAAAAACACAAGGCGAGAAAAGTTACACCAGGAGCGCCGTTCGAAAAGCTGTTCGGCGCAGAGAATTACAACTCGGTGAAAACCGACAAAAGTCAGGTGAAAGCACCACTGGGACAAGTAGGTGTCACGTTGACTGTTGGAATGAAAGATTCACCATTGATTTCCATATGAACATATCGCAACCTTCATCAACTTGAAAAAAATGGCTGACAGTGGCCGAGCAAAGACCCTCCACCCAATAGGAAAAAAAAACTCACCTTATAAATTTGTTTTTCGTTGCGCGGCAACGCGAGGCCATCTAGCTCGGATCATTCGACGAAGCAAAAGAACTTTTCCGATCAGGGTTGATTAATTTAAAAGTGACTTTAGATAACAAGCGAACCAACACAGTACAAGGAATTAAAACCCTCTGCAATCAAGTTTCGTACCGTGGTAATGAAAAGGGAAAGAAAATTGGATGACAATTCCAGCTATAAATCCCGAGACCAAACGTTGGAAAATAATTATGTACTTGCTAGCGTAAACCAAACCAATAAAAATATTAATCAAAAAGTATAAGACTTCCCATTCATCATGCACTGAGATGAGGCACGGCTTTATCCAAACAGGAGAAATCGTGTTGAGCCTATTACAGTGAGGCAGGTCTGTCTAGTTTCATGTTTTTATAGAGTGACCTTAAAACGTCACCTAAGTATGGAAAGTGGACGGCCGGCGGAGTCTATGACGAACACGGGAATTAAGAGTGAAGGAGATTATGTCTGACTTAATTACAGGTGAAACTAATAACTTACAATACAGAGACCGTCTGTAATCTTGTTAAGAACGCGAAGCCAACAAGAACGCTCGCCGATTACCAATCAAATGATGGCTCTTCTGTACAAAAAAGTCCTGAAATTCCTGTCAATTGCAACTCAAAATAGGAGTGACCTTGGAAGTGTAAGAAACGTCACGAGAGGGCGCTGATTCTACATGTTGCCTACACCATGCCTCAACAGCCAGACAGCTTGCAACTGTCGCACAAAATGTAGAGTCTCATTAAACCTAGTGTATGGGTTCCGGATTCATTAAACTCATGTAAATTTGTGATTCTCAAAACCGCACCACAGTGGCGAAAAAACCTCCAGCTGCCGCCCCTCCATAACCTAAATTTGGCCCTCGCAAAACGTTTGCTATGCATCTCACATTTTACATACACTCTCTCTGCAAGTGCAATGAGGAGTTTTCGCCAGCGAAGGTTTCTGAGACAATATTAATTTTAATATGCTCTTGTGCGTCTTTCGGCTTATTTAATAAAACCGTGCCGGGGTGAAATTCCCAAATGGACAATAGTAAGTCTGAAGCCAAACAACCCATGGTGTAATCTGTGTGCGTTATTACCATACCTTATTCCGTTCAGGCACAGGTTTTAATTAAACAACGGTCATGTTTTTTTTTTAGAATTCAATAGAAACTAGTTTTGAATGGTCTTGGGTCAAAGGTGGTTTTAATGCTACACAAAAACCGCTTCGAAAATATCTCTCTTATGCAGGGCGGGGACACAACATCCTAAACCAATTTTTTGACACAATTTCTGACAATGATTGGGTGACAAGGTTAAAGATTGATTACATGAGCTATAGGTGATACGAAGTCATAAAGCTGTTTGTTTCTGGCATGTCCAGTGGTGGAGAACAAAAAAAAGGTGCACTGCACATGGAGGATTATAAAAAAAAACTACGGTAACCATTTTGACAAACTCAAAGAGAAATCTCATATGAAGCAAATCATATTTCTAAATTGCCACAAAAACTGTTCAGTTATAATATCCCTTTGTATAAGATATTACATTTTTCATATTAAGAGATTTTTTCTTTTACAAAGAGTACTTCATAGGTGATTAGGAAAGAAAGCATTTGGTATATTTTTAATCAAAAATTAATGTTAGCACCAAATCCCTAAGAAAACAACACCAGCAAATAAAGATGAGGATGTCGGGACCGTGTGAGGCTTTTGATGGTTTTTCTCCCAACATTATGCTGAATGAGTCTAAACCGGTATTTGCTTTTGAACCCCCCTCCCCCCACACACATTCACCAAAAGCTGGATACGCCTATGGAATCGAACAAGAGCTAGTGCACATTAAGCCCCTGAAAGCCCCACAGCTTTGTAAAAGAGAGGTTTTGGCAAGTTTCCTAAATTGCACAGCGCGCGGTATGGACCTACACGACATGGATGACATAGACTCTGGGCCCCGCATCTGTACTTACTTTTGTGTCGTTTCGGATAAATGAATTTTCTCTCTTTAATTTTTCGTCACACCTGGAAATAATTTCCTACGAAGTAACCCGCAGCAAAAAATAAATCAACGTCAGAAAATGCTTCAAGACTTCTTACCTTGTGGAGCAGAAACTTCCAGCAAGCCCATACTCTGGTCTCTCTCCAAAATCTGTCTGTGTGAAGCACAGGTCCCTTAAGATCTTCGCTGCCAAAAAAATCAAGTCATTACAAGAAGTTTCCTTCAGTCGAGGGGCTTCCTTCAGTCGAGAGTAAAAGGACGTGGCCTTCCTGGGAACGTGAACGTATGAGCATAGAGCTATGGTATGAGGACAAAAACTTACGGCTTCGTTTTTATAGGCCACTGATAAGCTCTATACGTACATGTAGTGACAGCAGGTGGCAGTCACGGCTGTGACGAGGCCCATGAACCATGGAGGACCATGCATGAACATACCAGACAAGTCACTGCTGTCGAATACAGTAATGAGAGGTGGGCACACACGGGATTTAAAAGGGGCAGATTATTCCTTACGAATAAAAGCATGATATCTAGCTTGTGGCAAATTAACATCGATCGAGCGATGCGATTACACGTGTACTTAACTCCCCTGCCAGCACCAAAACCATATGTCACTTTGTAAAATTTTTATTGTCATATATTATGAGCCTGCGCAAACAGCGACAGATGGGTCACTTCGTGGAACGAAACATTTTGATTTATCTGTGGCTGACAGTGACCAATGTCGTTTGCGCATGCGCGCGGACTGATCTAGTGGAGGTTCGTTTAAAATCCTTCACTGTGTTTTGTTTATATTTTTCCGATTAAGAAGGTCTTAAAGAGTAAAACTTTGCAAAAAAGCTGAAGGAAATTAAAAGGGGAATTCCCATCTTGAACTTGAAAGTCACGAACTCTTATTTTCTACTATTTTTATTTTTCAAGGTGTACCCAGGGTCATTTTTCTGAAGATAAAAAACTTTGAATGCCTCCATTAGAAAGAATTACAATAACATAGCGCCTATCAATGACATTCATCTTTAAAGAAATCTACTGCTTTTCCAATAATAATGCTTGAAACTTGAAAATTGCGCGGGGTCACAGTGATTTTTACAAAATCACTGTTTTTTAAGTCTCATCATTTTCCCCTCAAATCCTGAGGGAAAATACTGGAGGTGGGTCAATGCGTTAAGTAATAAATAGCTTTTCGTAAATTCCAACTTAGGAATTGACATGAGAAGTTTCGTATGATTTTTTTACATAAATAAAGTCGACGAGAGATCCAATCAGAGTGACATAATTTGCAATATGTTATAAATAATTCTTAAGGTTTTTGCATGCTTTGCAATTAACCAGAAATATGGCAACTGGATACAGCTTGTTACAGTTCATTGCATTTAGCTTGTTACAGTTCATTGCGCTTAGCTTATTACAGCTCAGTGCGTTTAGCTTGTTACAGTTCATTGCGCTTAGCTTATTACAGCTCAGTGCGTTTAACTTGTTACAGTTTATTGCGCTTAGTTTGTTACAGTTCAGTGCGCTTAGTTTGTTGCAGTTCAGTGCGCTTAGTTTGTTACAGTTCATTGCACTTAGTTTGTTACAGTTCAGTGCGCTTAGTTTGTTACAGTTCAGTGCGCTTAGTTTGTTGCAGTTCAGTGCGCTTAGTTTGTTACAGTTCATTGCACTTAGTTTGTTACAGTTCATTGCACTTAGTTTGTTACAGTTCATTGCACTTAGTTTGTTACAGTTCAGTGCGCTTAGTTTGTTGCAGTTCAGTGCGCTTAGTTTGTTACAGTTCATTGCACTTAGTTTGTTACAGTTCAGTGCGCTTAGTTTGTTACAGTTCATTGCGTTTAGCTTGTTGCAGTTCATTGCACTTAGTTTGTTACAGTTCATTGCACTTAGTTTGTTACAGTTCAGTGCGCTTAGTTTGTTGCAGTTCAGTGCGCTTTGTTTGTTACAGTTCAGTGCGCTTAGTTTGTTACAGTTCAGTGCGCTTAGTTTGTTACAGTTCAGTGCGCTTAGTTTGTTACAGTTCAGTGCGCTTAGTTTGTTACAGTTCATTGCGTTTAGCTTGTTGCAGTTCAGTGCGCTTAGCTTGTTACAGTTCATTGCACTTAGTTTGTTACAGTTCAGTGCGTTTAGCTTGTTGCAGTTCAGTGCGTTTAGTTTGTTACAGTTCAGTGCACTTACTTTGTTACAGTTCAGTGCGTGTAGCTTGATTCAGTTTATTGTGTTTAGCTTGTTACAGTTTAGTGCGTTTAGATTGTTACAGTTCATTGCGCTTAGCTTATATTACAGTTCATTGCGATTAGCTTATTACAGTTCATTGCGTTTAGCTTCGTTTTCACTGTGTAGACTATAAAATTTTATCTGAACTGGTTTACTAACTCAACATTTACAAAAGAGCAACAAAAAGCAAATTTCATGAACCAAACAGATAAAATGCTATTTTTGATCTGAACCAGGCAGCCTGAAACCAAATTGAGGAATCCCACAAAAGTGAAGGATTGTAACTGG